ATTAGATTAGATTAGATTAGATTAGATTAGATTAGATTAGATTAGATTAGATTAGATTAGATTAGATTAGATTAGATTAGATTAGATTAGATTAGATTAGATTAGATTAGATTAGATTAGATTAGATTAGATTAGATTAGATTAGATTAGATTAGATTAGATTAGATTAGATTAGATTAGATTAGATTAGATTAGATTAGATTAGATTAGATTAGATTAGATTAGATTAGATTAGATTAGATTAGATTAGATTAGATTAGATTAGATTAGATTAGATTAGATTAGATTAGATTAGATTAGATTAGATTAGATTAGATTAGATTAGATTAGATTAGATTAGATTAGATTAGATTAGATTAGATTAGATTAGATTAGATTAGATTAGATTAGATTAGATTAGATTAGATTAGATTAGATTAGATTAGATTAGATTAGATTAGATTAGATTAGATTAGATTAGATTAGATTAGATTAGATTAGATTAGATTAGATTAGATTAGATTAGATTAGATTAGATTAGATTAGATTAGATTAGATTAGATTAGATTAGATTAGATTAGATTAGATTAGATTAGATTAGATTAGATTAGATTAGATTAGATTAGATTAGATTAGATTAGATTAGATTAGATTAGATTAGATTAGATTAGATTAGATTAGATTAGATTAGATTAGATTAGATTAGATTAGATTAGATTAGATTAGATTAGGAGTTGGACGTTATTTGTCCTTGTCCACCGCGACCTTTTCAGATCTATTGTGGGACTCCGTTTGTTTTAGAGTATGTCGTCTAGCCTGGTCTTTTTTATTAGACTTAGTAGCTTTGACAGTGGCTCCCGCATGTAGTTGCATGCAATTGGCTTTTCTTCGCCCAATGTTAGAAACCTCATTCCAGCCAAGCCTTCACATTGGCACAGGACGTGGAATGATGTTTTCTCTTCTTCTTCACAGAACCTGCACAAAGTTGCTTCTTCTGCTGGATTTATGACACTCATGTGCCTTTTGAGGCGACAGTGTCCAGTAAGAAGGCCTACTGTTATCCTAACGATTTGACGTTTTTGATCCAGTAGGTCTTTCGTAAACTTGGCCGATGGTTCCTTGATGAACTGTTTGGCCTGTCTCAGTCTTGGATAGTTGTTCCACCATTCCTGAGACTCTTTTTGCATCCATTGTTTAATGGATGCCTTGCACAATGCCTTAGCGACTCCACAAAAGGGTTCAGGGCCTGTCATGGCCTTATCTGAGCCTTCTCGGGCTAATTCGTCGGCCTTTTCGTTGCCCTGATAACAGTGGCAATACCAGTTTTCTTATTTTAAATGAAACACCCTGTATATTTTAAATTTTTGGAATATTCAAAAAATTCTAGACATATTTTATGTACTATGTTCTATAGCTAACTGTTTCAGAAATAAAACCTAGCTGACTTAAGAAGACGAATAACGCTTGCGATTAGATCGGTCACTTGTTGAGATGTTGAGTAACGTTAGAAGACATTTTTAATTCAGATTAGGAAGTTGCCAAGAGGTTCGCAGCGAGCATTTTGAACATCTCCTATTTTGAGATGTGTTTTCTTTGTTACATTATCAAGAAATAAATAGTATTACTTATTAGTTTTTTAGTATGTTGTAACGAATTGCTCTAATCAAATTATTTTATTTTAAGTATGTTAATTTTTGCAATAAATCGTAAAACATTTAATATTCGAGTTCATCGACCAGAATCGTTCTGATTTTAACTGTTTAATTTACTATTTTGTAATAAATAAGTACTCCGATATTGGTGTGTTTTTGAACCCTGTTTAGAAGGTTTCATGAGGCTAGATGTACTTGTACTTGTTTAAGGTTAACCATCGATAGACCTGTTGGTAAGGTTTATAACACACCTGGTTAGTCCACCATTTGTACTTGTAGAAACTTTGTTGGGGACTGGTATCATTTCAACGTTGTACCTGTTGCTCTCCTAAGAGTTATTACACGCACTGTTCCATCAGGTGCAAGATGAGTTTGGGTTACTCGTGCTAATAGTAGGGCTATCAGATTTACGTAATGGAAAAGCGGGACAATGGTGACGACAGGAGATCAGGTTAAAAAACCAAGTATTTTTATAAAATCAGATTTTTTTGTGAAAAAGGTCATCAGCTTATATTTTTATTAAATCAGGTCCTTCTGGCGAGCTTCTAAAAAATAGTCTTACCTCTTTAAAAAATTCTTTATTTATAACTTTGGATATTCAAATAGCGTGGCATTTTAGCAAAAAGCGTGATATTTAGGTCAAAAACGGGATATTTTCGTACTTTGGCGGGACTTCTGGCAACCCTAGCTAATTGCCATTGACTTGGATTAATATTGCCCTCTTTTATGATGACGATATTTCCAATTTTTTAAATTGTCTTTCTGAGTTTTCCATTTATATCGTTGCTGCAGTCTTGAGAAATACTCCATGGACCAGGTTTTGTAAAAAATCCGTCTTAATCTTCTGAACGAGTCACCATCTTTGTGAAAGATTAGTGTTGATGCTGGTGCCAATTGGAGAACCTCCTGTTCATGCAGAGTTCATCTGGTATATAGACGGCTCCAAAACCCATGAAGGTTCAGGAGTAGGTATATATATTACCAAGCCAAAGACAAAAATTTCACTAAGCTTAGGTAAACATCCGACAGTATTCCAGACAGAAATAGCAGCAATACATCACTGCGCAAAAGAAGTATTAAGACAGAATGTAAATGGAGAAAGCATTGTCAGACTGTCAAACGACGTTAAAAGTTCTCAGTTCTATGCAGGTACACTCAAAGCTTGTGTGGGACTGTCTGAATAGTCAAAACACACTAACCTTAGTCTGGGTACCAGGCCACAGAGGACATAAGGGCAACGAAGAGGCTGATTTACTAGCCCGAGAAGGAGCCTCAAAGGCTCTTATTGGCTCAGAACACTTGTATGGAGTTACAAAGACAATTATCAGAACATGCACAAAGCAGTGGATGTTTAAAACATCTGAGAAATGGTGGAAAATTTCACTAGGACAGAAGCAGGCCAAACTCACCGAGCATCTACTAGCCTTTATTAAGAAAAATATTATAGAGTACTAGCATTGTACTAACAAAGCATTGTAGGCTTAACTAACATATGTATATTATCCTCTGAATGAAGAGACTTTGCGTCGATTCTGACAGGAAGAAGAGGAAACTGCAGAACACGTATTGTGCTACTGCGAAGGTCTATAAAAACTGAGATTCCTTACACTTGAAGAAGAAAAACCAAGGGCACCTAGCTATGCCGGAGAACTACTTCCCAGTCTAAAGAGTCAACTAAAAGAACCCAAATTAGACAAGGTACTCTAAACAACGATTAAAGGATAACCAAAATAGAAAAGGTCGAGGTGGGAGAGGCAACACGGCCCACAGTCCTAATTAAATCTAATCTAAGAATCAAAAGATAGGTATGTCGATAAATTTAGTGCTACTCATAACCTAATTAATATGTACTTATTTATTATTTTTACATAGAGACAGCATTTCTTCAAGTCAATATCAATTAGAGAATATACTTCTTATTATTATTAGGTAAGAGATTCTATAGTAAAAGTTAAAAACAATTCGTGAACTTTCCACTTCGTGCTTATTATCGGCTACCTACAACTCTTATGTAATATACTATTATCACTCTTTAGACGCTGTATTTGATTTTGAATGATACTCCCATTGCATTATCTCGAAAAATAAAGGCAACTATCTATTTATTTCAAAATATTTCACGTACAAAATTGGAATATTACATTGAATCGCTCACCGTTCCCGAACAACAAATCACATTCAGATTCGATTCGATTTCTGTGTACTCGAAAGCCCTTTCGCAACATTTCAAATAAACGCGAACGCGCTTTAGGTACAATCCGACCTATTATGTCTAAGAAATAAATCGTTTTTATCTTAAATAAAAAGAAAAACTTTTGAAATCCCGCGTTGTATCGGAACATTACGGGCCGGCACTTCTTCTTCGTCGAAAAAAAGTTTCATTTCGTTGCTCTAAAAGCTGTCTGAAAAAAAAAGTGTCAGACAAAAAGGATTGTCTTGCCGTGGCGTTCTCAATAAAATTGCCGAAGAATCTCTCTCTGCTAAAAAAAAAAAGGTCTGAGTGAGGGTAATTACATCCCGAATATATTCGGTTGTAACAGATTAAAATGAATCCTTTGTCAAAGTTATGAGATGAGGTTTCTATTTTTGTAGGCTTGTTCCTTTTAATTGAAAATGTTCGTTAAATTAGTTACTTTTGATGTTTTATGAACATTACATGACATTTTTTTAATATGTCCTAGCGCACCTAATCCTGTAAGATTAAAAATGGCGGGCGATGAGAGTTATGGTGAAGATGACGGCGATGAAAATCTCGGTTTTAAAATCGTAATGTTCAAATGCTGTGTAAAAGAGCAGTGTAAAGTAGTTATGTGTGAAAAGTGTTCAAATTGATACCATTCAAGCCGTCTTGCAAGAGATTTCAAATCAATAAAAGTGATAAATCAAAACAGAATAATAATATGCCGTAAAAACAAACATGGCGAAAGCAAGATCAAAAGTATTAACCAAGAAGCCGATAAAAATGGAGAGCAATCTAAACTGCAGCTACATAATACAATGCTAACAAGATTGGTAGAGGAAATGGAAGATAAAAATGGGGTGTTAAAAGAAAAAAATAATAGATTATTACTAGAAAGAATTGGATATCTCGAACAAAAACTAGCAGAAAAAAACAGTCTAACAGATGTAAACAAGAGCGTTCGCGGGTAAGTTTAAATTCCATGATATTCTGCATGGAATCGAAACCAATAGTCAAACGTGCCAAGGTCACATCATGGTACGCAAATTCTAATCAGGCATCAGAAACTAACACTGAACCAACTACAAACGAACAAATAGTGCACCGAAAAATGATTGTGACAAATACAGAAGAACTGACTGTCAATGTCAATGAAGTAAACAAAAAACATTAAAAGAAAGACGAATTTGATGAAGACGGATACAAAAAAGTCATTCACAGGAGAAGACGACAAAATAACTTCGAAAGCGCTGAAACTGAACATGATATTTTTCGATATTCCAGCATTAAAGTCCCAGTTAAGTGTTGTTTATGAAACAACTGAAATTAGTGATAAAAAGACGCCTATCAATGTGTTAAATTTTCCTATAACAACTGGTTTAAATAAGTCCCTTTGTGAAGTCGTCAAGTTGTGTGAATTAGTACTAACCATCCCAGCCACAAGTGCGTCAGTTGAACGAAGTTTTTCAGCTTTAAAGCGCATTAAAAGTTTTATACGAAATTTAACAAGTGAAGCAGACTCTCTAATTTAGCCCTAATATCCACTGAAAAACAGCTTGTTAAACAGTTATCAGAAAATCCAAAATTTTACGACGATGTTATAGACAAATTTGCAGCCATTGAGGATAGGCGAATAGATCTTAAGTATAAATAAATGTCAACTGCTGTGTCAACTGTGCGAAAAATGCTGGAAAAAATAAAAAAAACTTCAGTTAAATGTTTTTTTTACGTTTAAATAAACCAAGAAAGCTTTTCAATGGTAAGTTTTTTTATAGCTTCTAGTACTAAACTAGGTAATAAAGTAATAGTAACACTTCAAAAATCTCAATCTCGAATATCCGTAGTACTGGGGAAAAAAAAAGCGATATTTTGACAAAATGGTGAATGCGCCGCGAAAAATTTTCTTATACAATCGCTTCCCCTTTCCACGCCACTGTATATTATTATTGGGTAAATCAAATTAATTTGAATAAACTTTTCGGGATCATCAAATTATAATGAAATTATAAGGTCCATACATTTTTTAAAATCTTGAGACAATGAATAAAATTATTTTTGATTGGAACTAAAAAAGGGAACTGGAAATGTTTGATAAATTGACTGTATTTGAAGGTGAAATAAATATACCGAAAATAACAAGTAGGTAATTTTTATTGGTAATATGTTAAAAAAATACACTATTTTGGAATTGAATATACAGTGTGTCGCAAAATGTCTGGACCGAGAAAACACGAAATTACATTTTTCTTTAATCTACATAAAAAAGTGCAATTTAAAATTAAATATTTTTTACTGAAACCTATTAGGTACCTACGTCCTACAGAGTTAGGCATTATAAATTACCCACCCTTTATACCATAATTATTATTATTATTATTATTATTATATATTATTATTTACTGAATTTTGTTAAAATGCCATCAAAAATACAGTGACCGCATAAGTGGCGTGCATATTTCACGGGATACAACATAAATAATATTTATTATAGCCCTATATCTTTAATGTTATTGGTCGCTTCAAAATGTTCATGAACTTAATATGAGAGATACGTGAAACCACTGTTTCCATGGGAATGTCTATTTATGAATGTTCGAGAAGCATAAGCCTATTACGATGGGAATAGAAAAAGTGAAATCTTTTCCCAGTGGAGAATTGTCCAGTGAACTCAAGAATCGAGCCCCTGAGGGAAAATAATGAAGACATGACACGACCGCTTACAAGACACAGGCGACAAAATTTCTTGGCAAATGCAAATATTAGAAATGGCGTGTATGGTGTGAAGCCACCGACAATAGGCGCAGGCGTGTTAAAAACACTGACAAAAACATTTCAAGGACAATAAATATTTTTTAACTCTTAAAATTGTTTATTAGATGCTAACAGAATTGTTTTTAAATTTAATTTTTTGCTCCTAAAGTATTCTTAAAATATTGTTTGCTACCACAAAAATAATAGTTAAGAAAAAATACTATCCTTAAACCTTCATTAAAACAATTCTAGTATAAAAAGGATATTTTTTTATTTAATAGATTTTTTCAGAAAATAAACTCTAAAAGATCTAATTCTTTGTGTGAGTCTCTACTCAAGTCATTAAACTTTTTACTTTAATTTCTTTAATTAATCATATAATCTAGTTTTTATTTAGGATAATAATTTTTGAGGCAATTAATGAGTAAATTCAATGTGATTATTTAAATGATTTAGATCGGCTAGTAATTATCTACGTAATTATGATTATGATTAAAATAATCGCATTGTTCGAATAGCAAAATTATGTCTAGTCTAAATATTATTTATTATTATGTAAATCCATTTTATTGGATGTTGTTTCGGGATATAAATTGCTGGCGAATTAATAGTTATGTTTACATCAATGTATAAATCATTCTGAAATAATCTAGACAATAATAATAACAATAATAAACAACACAAACAACACATGCAAGATTGTATTTACTAAATATATGAAAATTAATTTTATCAGCGATAAAACTATGACCTAAAATACTTTTTATCGTCCATATAGGGTTCCTATAGTAAAGTGATAGAAATACCCCACTTTGGCTTACTTGTTTAGACATTATTTTCAAATTTGTTTACTAAGTCTATAGATAGTTTTCTGCGAAATATTTAATGCCTCTGCAGCAATTTGATTGTACGTCTTTCCAAGGGCAAATAGATTTTTGTCTTTTAAAAAATAGGAATGCAGATACCACCATCAGATCTTGATTAAATGTATATGGGACCACCTCCTTTCTAATAAAAAAGAATCATAAAAAACAGAAAACGTACATAAAAAAATAAAGAATTTGATGATGTTCTTATGGTCGTCATTATATACGGGACCACCCGTGAGGTACTCCTCTAACATAAAAAAAAAGAATCACAGACATCGGACAATGTGGTAAAGAATTATCGCTGAACATACCTAAAAATAAAAACATTGTAACGAATTGAGAACCTCCTCCTTTTTCTCTGAAGAAATCGTAGTCATGGTCAATTCTATCAAGAAGATCAAGGCTCAGAATTTTTCCGATTGTCCTTTTGCTCAATCGTAATGTTTTTCAGCACCATTTTGGCACAGACCTTTCGCATGTGCAAATCTTTAGTTAAAATTTGATCAATATTACAAATGGTTGTCTGATCTTACAAAAGCCCTCATAGGTTCGATGTTTTCATTGGTTTTTGAAGTTGAAGGCTTCCCTGAGAAAAGTTCATCGTCCATCTGTTGTCGACCATCCAAAAATGATTGGTTCCAATGAAAACCGTTGGCTCCTGATAAGGAATATTCCCCAAGTTTACCACAAAACTTAATTGCACAACGGTGCTCCATATTCCGCTGTTCCATTTTGCATGACACACTGATACGCTCTTAAAAACCACGTGGAGATAGTACGGAGTTGAAATTCAAATTGAGCGCAGTGTTGGTAGGTCTAAAATTTTAATTTTTCTAAATATTGTCTCAAAACTTCCCCAGATTTTCTGCATCTTTTAACCTGGAAATAAAGAAAAAAGATACTTGAAAATAAAACATCCCTATTTATTAATAATATCTATTTTCCAAATAAAAATCAAGCGACTTATGGTTCATTTTTTATTTAACAAATACATGGAAAATAAACCCGAGTATTTAAAAAAAATACTGGACATATTTGAATTTGGAATAAAAATACATCTAATGAAAAAAAAAAAATATAAAATTAACGCAGAATACATACATCTATAAAAGAGAGATATTGAAAATTTCTACGTCAGCCACTAATAGTGAAAACGTAATTAGATTCAAATAAATTTCATGCTAAAATAAGACTTATTGCAAACCTGAACTTTTGACATTAGAGACCTTATACATATTTCTAACCTAATTTTAAAATTTTTTAAATTATAGTTAATTTTTGTTATTGTTTATAATAGTATATAATAGGGTGTAACAAAATAACGATCCGGAGACTATCGGTCTCAAAGCGTTTATGGAACTTTCAGACACAGGTTAGTGTGTTGACGAATTTATTAAACTAAAAAACATACATATGAACGCAAAATAAATTATACAATAATTTAGAATACCAGGGACAATGAATATATGTAAAAAAAACACAAATATCAAAATTCCCCACATGGTTTTAGTTTAATTTTGATTATTTACTGGTTGACATGGATATGATTAATTTTTGGTAACCCAGTAACTAACTAGGGAATTTTGCTACAAGGGAAGAGGCATTAGAAATTACCATTTTAGAAGGTTTACATGACGATGATATTAAATATTTAATATTAAAAAAATTCGAACTTATACGAATGTTGGCGAGCGTACCCGAAAACTATAAAGTCGCCACTAACTGCTGTCTTTAAACATCCACAATTAAGGCCAGGCACAATCTTTATTAAAGTCAGTTCTAGAATGTAAGTGATCTGCGCATGCTCAGATAAGAGCGACACTAATAGTGACTGACCTTAAATGAACTTACAATAACTCTCTACTAATTAATATTACATTACATTAATACATCGTAAATCTGTATCAATTTTGAAATCGAAACAGTTGTCATAGAATACTTACTTTGACAGTTAATGTTTTGTCAAATTTTTAGTATGTAGAATACCATTCCTCATGTGTGATTACCCGTAAAATACCACCAAGCCGATGTCTGGGGATTTACTTTGTTTATATTTTGGGAGTAAGGTTTACAGTAAATTCGACTTATCTAAGATTCTGAGCTGCTAATTGTAAATCGGACTTAGGATTGATAGCGTTTTTACCAAGGGTAAACTGTTTTATCTACTCCTATTAATTGTTCAAGTGCTTTTGAGCAATTAATAGTATCAATAAACAAATAGCGTGAGTTATAATAGTGAGTTATTATAACTCACGCTGGGCTCCTACGATAATTCGGTATATAAATAGTGTGCGCAGTAAATTCTTGGAAATTTTAATGTCGATAAATGTTCTATTGGCGTAAAATGTTAGAAAGATTTTTTAACAACTGGAAAGGAATGAATAATAATTAAAAGATTTTAAAATTATTAAATTGTCAACGCCTCTCAGTAGGCGGAACACTCAATTATTACATTGAAGGGAGTAATGTCATTTGAAATTTTAACAAGATAATTTTGACGTTTTCAAATCAATTTCTAATAATAGTGCTAAAAAAAGATGAATTTAGATAGTGAAGATAAGTTATTATGTATAACTCCAGAAATAAGAGTTTCGCCAGTCTCATTACTTTTTTATAACAACTGGCATATTTAAATTTATAATTTTTTCCTGATCATTATGAACGGAGAAAGGAGACTTTAATATGAACTTTAAATAGAAGTCCCCCTTGGTTAAATCAGCCTTAAAAATAAGATTATGAAAATGACCCTTAAAGTGTATTAAAACTATTAATTTAGGTACTAAAATAACTATTTTTATTTCAGGGCTAACGGCAAGGATGAAT